TAATATTTATAGAACAAATAAACTCACACACCCTCTTCAACTTTAGTGAGATTTAAACATCTGACCTCCAAGGAGACTAATGACTCACATACAGCTAGAGGTTAACTAATTAATTTGATGTCAATTGCAATATTGATTTATTTGATTATTTTGTTAGACATTCGAACAACTAATTGTGTAACTAAATGATAAAAACATATCTAACGTCATATTCGTAGCAAAAAGTGTGAAAACATGATAAAATGAATGAAATATAATAATATAAATGTAAATTAAATTAAATTAAATATTTGTTTTCTTTTTAATTTGTTTGGCTTCAGTTTTAACTATAGTTTGTATATTTTTTAGCAGAGAATATGGAAAAATCGTTTTAGTAGTAAAAATAAAGTATTAACTACACTTTTAATTACATTCGCTGTATCAAATCCATGTAGCTGTAAATATGTGTTTTATGTTTCTAACTTCTTTACTGTTTCCATTTGAATTTCCCTCCATGTCACTAGTAACATGACTTTCTTTTCCACAATGCAACTATTTATAAAATATAATATAACTCGGGTTTCCAGTGATAATAGCATATATATTCTTTGTGTACGACCCTATTAGTTTACATACTCATTGGTAGTGTTTTGTATAACAGGTGTCATGAAGTATAAAAACTTATAATTAAAATTTATTAAAGTACATAAACTAATCAAATTATATAACTTATATAAACAATTCATTAGAGGTAAATTGGTTATTTTATCAGTCTTGTCATGTTTAGTCACGTTTTAACAAACATTGAACAACTGTTTTGTTTAAGTATCAAACGCACCCATAAGGTGCTTTTAGTAAGCTGGACAAGACATACTAGAAAGGAGATAATTCTTTCATGTATGACAAGACTTTTATGGAACAAACTTATGTTTTCACCAATATAACCCCAAAACAATACTTAATTCTCTTCTAAAATATCAAATATGTCTTTTTCTTTACATTTTATTTATTTGATTCTATGTCATTTAAACTTTCATTTTACTGTTCTTAAAATATTATATTTTTATGGTTTCTATATTTTGATTAATTAATGTAGTTCATAAATATTAATAATATAGAAAATGTATAAAATAAATATTGGAAACTATGTAAATGTTTTAATTATTTTGATGAAAACTTTCTGATAATAAATTTTGTTTTATTAAATATTTATTTGATTATAATTTGATAAATTACATAATTAATCAAAATATATAAACAACTCATTAGAAGTAAACTGATCATTTTATTTATTTTGTCTTGTATAGTTATGTTTTAGCAAATACTAAATAATTATTCTGCCATGTCAAGATACCAAAAATACCCATGATGTTAAATTGAAAACATTTCATTTATGGAAAATTAGATCAAAATTACCATAAATAGGGAAATAACGTAATAAACGAAGAGGTTTGTTTATATGCACATAGTTGATGTGCTAAGAAAGAACCGAAAGGGTGACCCATCTGACCATTTAATCATGATCCTTGGTTACAACAATAAGAGGGCGTTTCATTCGCATGATAATTTTTGAAGAAATGAAACATGTCAAATAATTTGAAATTTAAAATGAATTGAAATAAAATATTATCAAGTTTGACCATGTATTTAATTGACATAAATGAAATATAATATGTCTAATGAATTGAAATTTATGTGTTTGGTTTGGAAGATAATTTGAATGAGGATCAGGCACACATCTTTATCGTGGACCGCGGTTCACCTTAACAAAACGGGAGTAGAATAGCATGCACTAAATCCCAGCCGTCGGATTCATGTGTCTCTGACATATCCGCTTCCACTTAGTTTTTTACATCACTTTTATTTTGTCCTTTTATGTGAACAGTAATGTGTATTCGATTTTTTAATGTTTGAATATTTAAGAAGTGTATTTTATTGGTATTCCATTTTATTGGTATAAAAATAAGGTCAATCTCTTTTTACGTTATAAATTGTTAACAATTTAAACCATAAAAGTTAATTAATAAAAAATAACCTTTTCTCTCTCCTCTCGTATTTCTTGTCTTCATAACATATATGCATACATGTATAACTGGATGTGCATATAAAATAAACATAACTTGTTGACACTTTTCATAAACACTTATAAATACTTTGTGAACAATTGTTTTTAAATTAGTGATTTATAATGGATATCACAAATTATGGAGTTCTCCCTCGTATTATATATATATATATATATATATATATATAAGATAGGGAGAGACAAAGGGGGAGGTTTATTTCCCAAACATGAAACAAGTTCATTAAAATTTCATACTCATATACAAAAGAACTTAATCTATAAAAGTATTATATGAAACAATTTCATAATATTAAACAAATTCATGAAGCAAAATCATTAAATTAAACAACAAAATCAACGGATAAAGGTGAGTTGCACAGTTTATACAAATATCAGTGGTTTGTGTTTGATATGTCACTTATATAACCTTTTTTGTGATGTAAATATTATCACATGTGATGATAGATTACTTATATTCATAACATATTATCATATGTGACATGTACAAAAATTCACATAGTGGATCATAAAGATCATATGTGATATGTAACATATCATATGTTAAACGAAGTCTATCACACATGAATTAAACGTGGATCCAAAAAATTTGATTTTTTTTTATCAAAGTATATCTAAAAAAAGGTTATATAAAACTTCCTATAATAATTTTGAATTTATTAAATTAAAAATAAATAAATCTAACAGATATAATTAGATTTTTGAAGATTCATCCAATTCAAAATGATAATTATCTTAATTATGAATCTTTTATGCTATTTTTAATTAATGAATTATATGGACCATATTTCTTCTTTTACTCTCGCAAATTAGTTAGTTTATCACATGACCCTCCTCTTATGTGTGTGTGTGTGTGTGTGGAGGTTCAAATGAGAACACTCATGTTTTGCAAAAATGCGATAACACTCATATCACATGTGATAATACACGTGAGGGGGGTTGGTGGGTGCGGATGACGTATCTTGTGCCCTAGGTTGTACCAAAGATCGTTTGCATATTTGATTTAGCATCACATGTGATAGATTATAGTGTCATATCAAGGACATTCTTACCAAGTGTGATAATATACGTGAGGGGCTTAGTCGTGTACAAGTGACTTGACCCGCAACCTAGGACACTTCAAAGGTTGTATGCATCTTTGATTTAGTATCACATGTGTATCATATGTAAAAACATATGGTATAACATATTCACATGTGATTGATTTGTAGTAAAAGGGTGTTCTCACGTTCCCGTAAAATGAACGTGTTATTATTTGACTCTTTCCCTGTATATATGTATGCATACATGATCTATGAGACCGGTTATAATAAAAATGCTAAAAATCTTGATAAGATAAAAAGGGAAAGCTAATATGTAAAGATGAACTGACAATACACATAACTCATACAGGTTCACATATACTTCTTCAAATCGATTTTTTCAATGATTCACATACGAACATTTCTTTAATCATCATTTTCTTACTATCTCACGATATTTAACTTTCCTATTCGAACTTCCCATTACTATTTATATATGTATTTTTTTTTGTAAGGGTGTCCGGGCCAAAGCCCGACTAATCCCCGACAAATTTGGAGGCTAAACATGACCCCACTTAAATGTCGCCAACACTCCCCTCTCAAGGCTCGAACTCGGGTTCATGACTATGTCATGCCCAAGCCTTTACCACTAGGCTGGAAGGTCTTTGACTTTATACATATATGTATTTTGTAGGGTTCAGTTCAAATAAGAATGCTAAATATTGTGATAAGGTAATAAAGAAAGGTTAATATATGAATCATTAAAAAATATAAAAACAAATCTAATATTTATATTAAATCATATCTGCTAATCATTCTCGAGTTCTATTACTGCATATATTTATTATGGAATATATATGCCACAGAATAACAACATTCCAATCAATGTTGACATGAGAACATCGACCCTACACATAAAACTAGACACATTGTCATAAATGGTTTAGATTTTTTGTCGATAAATATGTATATTAAAACCACTTACTATGGTTGATGCTATGTACTGATTGCACCAACGTATGATCAAGAAATTAAATGGACAAATTAAACATGCAATGAACTGTTGAATTAATATCTACAACAACATTAAAAAACATCTATTGGAAAGAACGGAGCTTTCGATTGGTATTACCTACTACTGGATTTGAACCAATGACTTTTGAAATTTGCTGGACCTGCACGAACTTGTTGGAAATGGAGTATCGTGCTGGAGGTTTATGGCACTGTAAAAGCATCAAATTTAAGAACTAATCGTGGATTCGTGGCTAATGAGACACGACGGTTGCAATGTCCACATATGGAATTTACGAGCAAGATAATAACCGACCTTCATTGACTGAAAGTAATATACATATTAATCATTCGTCGGGCTTAGGAATTTTAAAGGGAATGGGGTTGTCATCACCTAGATGGCCCGATATATAATTAAAAATATCTCCATTCTCTGGATTTACATAGCGCATGTTTATAGTAAAATATATTTTACTTTTATCTGTGAAAAATTTAAATATTGTACTTTTTGGAGTCAATTTTGATTTAAGATTTACAGATAGTTAATGTCTAACAATGAACGGAAATGGGGAACTCACGGTCCACTACAATCCTTGACAGAGATGATGACGATTCTAATTATCGGTAGCACGATAAAGATACTAATAACCGGCTTAAACCCGACCCGTTGGTCTTCCATGTCCATCGGAAAAAAAGAAGACACTCCCAACAGACGGAGCCATTTGAAAAAAATAATAACACACTACTAATAAATGCCCCACCACACTACCACCCCATCCCCACCATTCTGCCATTCACACACCACTCTCTCTCTCTCTCTAAAGAACCCCCTTCTGTCTCCCCTATTTCTCTCTCTACATTTCTTCCTTTCTGGGTTCTTGGGGGCTGGGCTGGAGCGTTCATCAATGGCTTCTTCAAGATTAATGGCACTTTTCTTCCTCCATTTTCTTCCTTTAGCAGCCATAGCAGCAGACCAAGGTCAATCTCTTCTCTTCACTTGCTCTTCAAATCTTCAAATATATATATATATATATACATATATATGTATGTATATTGTGTCTCTTTGGCCTGAAATTACCATCTTTCACTTGAAAAATCATGGTTATTTGCAATTTTTAGCAGTTTTATTCCCCAAAAAAGAAATTTATCACATTACCTTTTCAAATTTTATATTCTTAGCCTAAAGTTTGGTTGTCATTACAGATGTATAATTAGGGTTTATAATGCCAAAGATCCAGAAAAAACTCATCAATCCAGAAAGGCATTGTCTTCATAAGCTATAAACCCTTTTTCTTCTTCTTCATACTTCTCACTGTAAACAAGTAAATTTCTGTTTTTTACTGTTCTAGAGAAAGAAAATTACAGGTTATACATATATATGTATGTATAGTGAAATTATATGTTTTACCATTCATGTACAACTCAGAAATCAACATTTTGCTCTTCAAAATTCTTCATCTTTTGAGTAGTTTTATTCCCCCAAATCAAAATTTTCACATACCCATTTTTCATATTTTTGAATTACAATCTAAAAGTTTGGTTGTTATAAGAGGTTTTATAATTAGGGTTTATGGAGTCAAGATTGGGCAAAAGCTCATGAACCCAGAAAGACATTGTCTGTATAGAAGCCATAAACCCTTACTGTTCATACCTGTGTCCATTATGAGTAAAGTTTTGGTTTTTACAGTTCTAGAGAGAGAGAAAGAGAGAGAGAGAGAGAGCTTCTAGGTCTATACTTTTGGTTGAATTTTTGTAACTTTACCTTAACTGACCTTCCTAGAATACCACCACTGAAGTACAACTCTTTATTTGTTATCTTTTATTTGATTTTTTGAGCATTAAAGTGGGAATAAGAGGACTATTAGAGATTCCATTTGGGTCCATCCAGATCAACTTTCAAGGGCGTTCTTGTCATTTTCTTTACTTATGATCTTATGGAATTTTTCATATAAAATTGTTAAACCCATCATTGCTCCTGATTCCTGAAAACCTGCATTTGCCCATCCTTTTGATTACCTAATTTTGATGATTGTTTCTTAAATTGTATGATATCTCTTAAGCAACTTTTGTCATTCATATGGAGAACATTCATAAAACTAGGACCTTAAGCCTGCCTGTTTAATAATCACCAAACAGTGATTGACCTTTTGACCATTCATTACAAAAGAATTGGATTTATATAAGGAGCTGGTTGGTTGGTTTTCCATTAAGTCCTGTCTAGATAAAGCAGTCTGTGTGGATATAGATGGGATGTTTTTTGTTTTGGAGGACTTTTTCGTAGATGGAAGGAGATTGTTTTCTTATTTGGGAGGGACAGGTTTGGAAAAAACTTGGCTTTCTGCATAAAGCTCCCCCAACTTACTGAATAAGCCACTTTTTATATCATTAAGTCACTATCAAACAGTTACTTAAAGCTGACCGAATAACCGAGTCCCATTAAGCTCATTAAGCTGCTAACAAACATGGAGGGTTTTTTCGGGAGTGGCAGGTTTGGAAACATTCCAAACCTCGTCTTTTTGCATAAAGCTCCCCTAGAAGCTTACTGAATAAGCCATTTTCTATATCATTAAGTCACTAGCAATCAGTCATGAATAGCCGACCGAATAAGCTGTGAGTCCTACCGTCCTATTAAGATCATTAAGCTGCTAACAAACAGGATCTAGATGTTATAATAGACGGCTTTATGGGACTTAAGTTTATATAAGACCAAAATATTTGTGAGTCCTGTATACAGGTGTTACAGTAATATGTTAAGACGTATTTAGGGATTCTAATAAGATCTGTATCGGTTTTTCCTTTCAGATGCTTTTGTAGGCGTGAACATAGGCACCTCCCTTTCCGACATGCCGAACCCGACTCAGGTGGTGGCCCTTCTCAAGGCTCAGCAAATTCACCATGTCCGCCTCTACGATGCTGACCAGGCCATGTTGCTCGCCCTTGCCGGCAGCGGAATCCGTGTAACCGTTTCCGTTCCGAATCAGCAGCTTCTTGCAATTGGCCAGTCCAATGCGACTGCCGCCAATTGGGTGGCTCGTAACATCCTTACCCATGTCCCTGCCACCAACATCACTGCCATATCGGTGGGGTCTGAAGTCCTCACCACCATTCCTAATGCCGCCCCGGTCTTAGTCTCCGCCCTACAGTACATCCATGCTGCCCTCGTTGCTGCTAGGCTCGATTCCCATATCAAAGTTTCCACCGCCCACTCTTCTTCGATCATCCTCGACTCCTTTCCTCCGTCCCAAGCCTTCTTTAACCGGACCTGGGACCCGGTGATGGTGCCGTTGCTCAAATTCCTTCAGTCCACGGGATCGTACCTCATGCTCAACGTGTACCCGTACTACGATTACATGCAATCCCACGATGCGATCCCATTGGATTACGCGTTATTTCGCCCTCTGCCGCCAAATAAAGAAGCCGTAGACTCGAACACCCTTTTGCACTACACTAATGTTTTCGATGCAGTGGTGGACGCGGCTTATTTCGCGATGTCGTATTTAAACTTCACAAACATCCCGATTGTAGTCACGGAATCTGGATGGCCTTCGAAAGGCGATTCCTCCGAGCCGGATGCCACGATCGATAACGCCAATACGTACAACAGTAATCTAATCAAGCATGTTCTCAACAACACTGGCACGCCGAAACACCCGGGCGTGGCCATCAGTACATACATTTATGAGCTCTATAACGAAGATTCTCGGTCTGGAGCAGTGTCCGAGAAGAACTGGGGCCTTTTTGACCCTAACGGGAGGCCGATTTATGTGCTACATTTGACGGGTTCAGGAACCGTGTTGGCTAACGACACCACGAACCAGACCTATTGTGTTGCAAGGGAAGGCGTGGACCGAAAGATGCTGCAGGCTGCGTTAGATTGGGCTTGTGGACCAGGGAAAGTCGACTGTTCGGCTATGTTGCAGGGTGCACCCTGCTACCAGCCCGATACTGTGGCTGCACATGCAACATATGCTTTTGATGCATATTATCACAGGATGGCTATGGCCGAAGGGACCTGCGATTTTAACGGGGTGGCTACCGTAACGACCACCGACCCAAGTAAGTTCGGTTCACATGCATAAGAACTGTTACTTCGTGCTTATAATGTCGTTTCTTTCATCGGTCGTCTTACTGAATTTTGTTTCTTTCAGGTCATGGCAGTTGCATCTTTCCGGGAAGGTAAAATAATCGAATACGATGCATTCTTTATTCATTACTTACAAAATTGATGTTATATTACCGCTCTACTTTTTCGTGTAGAGACCCGCCCCAAATTCATATACCGAGTTCGTTTGGTTTTGTTCGTTTTACAAAATTAACGTTATGGTTTTCGTGTCACCTTTTGTAGTAACGGGAGTAACGGCACCTTCATTAACGGTACATCTCTAGCGCCATCCACGAATTCAACTTCATCAGGTAGCTCATTGGCTTTCAACTCAAACGATTACGTTTCTTTTCGGAGACTTGTTGCTGTGTTACTCTGGGCCGCGGTGTTCTTGTAAATTGTCGGAAAAATTGGTTCTTGATTACCCGATTTTGTTCCTCCCCAATAAGCGGGGAGGAGGGTAAGGGGTGGCATCAAAGGTTCGAAACTCGTAGAAAAATGTCGAACTTAGGTTAATTCGTTTGTTGATTGTATTTGTAGAAACAAACGAATTGAGATTTGTTCTTCGTAATCTATCATTCTTGATTTTGTCGATTTTGCTTGATTTTATCATATGATGTTCATATTGGCTATTTTAGACGATTTCCCTCCATTCTAGGGTCAGTGTCTAGCCCCCATTCAAGTGGCCTCGATGGAGTTCCAAATCTGCTACACACTCGTGGGATCACAAAATAACGCTGAAACTTCACAACAAAACATTGTGAAGGTACTGAAAACACTGAACCTTCACAGCAAAACACCAAAGGTAATGTGCTCTGACGGGTCTCACAAAAACAATCGGGTTTCACATGATCTCAAGTCGTTTCCGCTTTAAGACAACTCTTTCAAATTTGATATTGATGAATACCATAATAACAAGCCTCACATACAAAACCAGAGGAGTTTGGAAGAAGACATTGCTTGTAAGCATGGTTGGTACAATAAGGCTTGTTACAGAACCCACATTTTGGCAGTTGAATCCAACAATCTTCACACAATTTATCTTCACAAGCTGCTTCGCTATCTTCGTCCTCGTTAAACCCGACACATTTCCCGCACTCTTCGCATCTCGAAACGCACGATTTACACCCTCGACAACCCCTCATCGTTCTCTTCCTCTCGCACGTTTCCAAAGGACAATCATACACCATCGTCACCTCGTCACATTTTGGACAAATTCCAACATCTATTTGGTCCGGCTTTAGCAACGAGTGGAGTCTTTGAAGGTGTTCTTTGGTGAGGTTGAAGATACCGTTTATCTTTAGGCTGGTTAAGGTGGCATCGTGTAGGTTTAACATCGTTACTGCTCCGATAATCCCTTCTGGTGTTAAGCCAATGCAGTGTTGTACATGTAGCTAAACGATAATTTTAAGTTAGACTCGGTCATAAAACTGAAGTAACCAAACAAGGGTACGTCATATGTAAATGTTCTAACAAACTGTTTTATATGACTTAATATTATAAGACCATATACTTATACATCAAATTAAATGTATTAACCACAAGGGTGATGTCTGATTGGTTTGAGCTTGGCTCCAAAGGTCAAAAGTACCAGGAGGTCCCAGGTTCAAATCGAAATAAAAATCCCCTTGTGGCCATGGAGGTTCAAATGCGGTGACTCCGGGCTATCTGCAAAGCAGGTGGTCGTCTTGGGATTAGTCGGCTCGCATAGCGGGTTTGATATCCAAGTTAATAAAAAAAAAGTCTTACAAAGCAGTCTATTAGAGCATTTACACGTATTTAGCGTCCTACAAAGCCGATCTTGTTGTAGTGATCGTAATTGAATCAATTTGAAGATCATGAGGTGATGATACCTTGTTAATATTGGGATTCATGGCTATGACATCTTGAAGCCCATGATCTGTAATCTTGGTACAGTTGATAAGAACCAGAGTATTTAGCCTTCCCGTTGCTTTCGAAGTTATCTTCATCAAAATTCCGTCAGAAATCCTTCTTTTTCGATGCTTTTCGTCCACCACGATGTTCAGCCATGACAAGATATCGTCGTTCAACGCATCTGTGAAGGATCTGCAGACTTCAGCCATGGCGAGAAGCTCGAAAAGTGGAAGATAAGGCAATACAAGATAAAAAGATTCATGGGGTTGTCCTGTGTTTGATGAATCTTGATTGGTTTCATGTGAAATCTCCATTTCCATGGCTGAAAATTGGTTCAAGAAAGTTGGATGGTGGTTTTAAGGTTAAGGAAGAACTGTTATTTGAAGATAAGAGTAACGAGTGGTCCATATTTGATACACGTTAGGTGATGTTGTTTGGTATGCAGATAGGACTGTACTGGGTTGATGTGAGTGATGCAGACGGATGAAAGAATTTTATGTTTTTAGGGTTTTAATTTGACATGGATGGTTAAGTAATTATTAATTTTTTGCAATTTTCCTCGTTTTTTGTTCCACTTTATTTTGGTGGAACTGCATTTTTGTTTTAACCAGTCCTGTCTCAATCTAAATATCACACAAAACGCAGGATAATCGAAAGAAAAATTGATCAAAATTATCAATATCTTCAACCAAATTCACTTTTTAGCCAATTTAAGCATCAGATTCCTATTTTAGCCAAAGTTTATGCAAATGCATTACGTATTTGTGTAAAACCTATTTTCATATAAAAAAGGGAAAAAAAAAATTCTTTTTGCAAATGAGGATCTCTATGCAAAATTGAGTAAAGATTTTTTGATATGAAAATAGGCTTTATGCAAATGCGTAAAGACATTTGTATAAACTCTTGCTAAAATGAGAATTTAATTGAAAAAATGACTAAAAAGCGAATTTGGTTGGGGAGATTCACTATTTTGGTCAATTTTCCCCCAAAAATGCAGTTTTGTCTCGGTCATATCCTACCTGATCAAAATGCACGTCAAAGGCAAACTAACAACATTTTGTTCTGTTATGTCTCATCCTACGTGCCAGAGTCGTTTCATACTCAAAGAATAAGATCAATTGACAAAAGGGTCATTAAGGTACAACACGATTAAGCTTCAAATTTCCAAAAGTACGACTTCCATTTCTTTTTTCGACCAAAAGAACATCAAAAGCTACAGACTCGTTATCTATGGAAACATGAAACAAATGATGGAACTCGGAACAAAATCTGAACCTTTAGGTCGTGGTTAGCGATCCATGGGCTCAACGACGGTCTTGAAAAGGAGAACGTAGACTTTGTTAATGGAAAAATACAAGAAACCTCCTAACGAATGCGTGACATACGAGCCGAAGCTGGTTCCCACGATGCAGTGCCAAGCCGGTCCATATGATGTGTCGAATTCCTATTAAACAAGACAACCGTCAAATACCATTATTCCAAAATAAATTATCAAATAGTCATTCGTCCGGTAGCATTCAAATTAAACATAGTCCCACTTTTTCAAAAGATCAAGCGTTCAATTCTCATCAAATTTGACAAATACATATAAATCTGACAATAAATGGTTTTTTTTAAAGTATATAATATTTATACACGACAAATAAAACAAATAAAGTCACACACCATTCTTACCTTTAGTGATGTTTGAACCTCTAAACTTCCAAGAGTGCAAATACCCTTTGTAGCTGGCATCAGTGTTAACATCAAAATAATTTATATATATTTTAATTAAATTGTTTGAAAAATATATAATAAAAAAGTATATTAATTCACATGTTTTAATAATAATAATAATAATAATAATAATAATAATAAATAATAATAAAAAGTAAAAAACAGGAAAAGTGTATTTATTATATTGGCCTAGAACTTGATGGAAACATGTCCATGAAAAGTTTCACACAATCCAATATTACTTTGTCCAGCCAACCTAAATTGACAGCATCCAGATTCCAAGCAGAAGAAAATATTGTCATTAAAAAATTATATAAAACTAAAAATAAAAATATTGTAATAAAAAACCTATATAAAAAAAATATTGTAATTTTTATGTAAAATAGTTGAATCAAAATTTTCTTTCATGACCACTTAATCATGAAAGTTTCTTGATCATTCAGACCATTTAATCATTCTGTATCAAATCATTCATTTAATATGTCATAATTGTCATGAAAAAGAATTCTAATTTTGTTTCTGTCAAATAGTATTTTAGAAATATAATAAGTAGTTAAATGTTTTTCTTATACCATTAGTTTAATAAAATATTAAAAATAAATTAAGACGTCTAAACGTTTAGTTTAATTGGCAAAGAAACAGAACAACTTTGTTCAAATACATTATATATTTGAGTTGGAATCTTATGGGAGACAGGTTTTGAACCCCTCCGTTAATCTCAACCGTTGAGTCAACTCTGAAATTTCTCATCATATGTGATTTCTAGGAGGCTGATTTCATTTGGACCGGTCTAGATTAGTGGTAATGAACATTTTGCTTAAATAGAATAAATTAAGATATTAAAGAAATGAAGTCAATCAAAAACCTCAAATCTCCATCATCAATTCATATCAAAATTGGACAAAAAGGCTAAAAGATGGCAATACCAGTAATGGTATTAAACAAATGAATCTCACAAGGTTACGAAAAAACTGAGACATAAACAAATGAATCTGACACCATAATAAACCAATTTTGACCATTTTCTTTGGATTTTTTCTGTTTGTTCCCCTTTAAAAAAAAAAAAAGAAAGATCTAAAAAGATGAAAAATTTACTATCTTTTCAGATGATTCTGACAATTTTCTGTTTATCCTTTGCAACAAACATTCTTTGGGATATATCATGTTTAAATACGATTATTTCAGGCTACCCGCAAAGCAGGATGTCCTTCTAAGATTAGTACAACGAGTTGGATATCTAAGTTAATAGAAAAAAAAGACAATCTTGGATATTCAAGAAAAATGATATTATTTGCATTCATAAATCAAGATTTAACCAACCCACAAAAGGTTTCTTGGGTTTTTGGAGAATTAAATCCAAAAATATGGTTTTTGAAGAATAATCTAATGAGATTCAAAGAATCAAAATGAAATGGGGTTTAGGGTTTCCAAAGCCTCTAGAACCAGATTTAAAGAACCCATAATGAAGAAGAAAGAAACACCCATGATTTGTTGTAATTCTAAATCAGTAAAAACAGAGCATACTCATACTGTAATACCTTTTTGAGGGCAAGGGCAAGGCGTTTGCTGTCAATCTTGATACTACCTCCATTGTTATTTGGAAGTGGAGAATTGATGGAATGCAGATGATCTTTTGCACATTTGAAAGCTTTGTTTTGTAAAGCAGTGGGCATATCAGAAGCTTTGAGCCTGATAATAAGTTGGAGTTGTTGTTGTTGTTGTTGGTTTTGTTGTTGTTGTTGTTGTTGTTGTTGTTGTTGTTGTTGATGTTGTTGTTGTTGTTGTTGTTGTTGTTGTTGGTTTTGTTGTTGATGAGTTGCTTTCTTTTTCTGTAGTATCAAATTGCTCAAAAACTTGCTTCTTCTTTCAAGTTCTTTCTCTGCCTCCTCCATTAAAACCTCATTCCAAGATGATGCTCTGTTTCTTGAAATTTATGTGTTTAAACAAGGGGAAATGGGGTTTGTTTAGTGGATGAAAAGTGAAAGGTATGTGAGAGATGGGGTTTACTGTGATGGGAATGATAACGGTCATGGAGTGGGGGCAGATTTCATTATGCTTTGTGTCATATTGCCCCCATTCAGATAGTATTACAAACACTAAATTCAAGTCGTAGGTAGGTGGACAAAAAATTATATGATACATTAGTTATTAAAGTTATCATATATAATATAATATTATATTTTAATTTATATTAATATGTATGTATGCATGATTGCATATCTAAAGGATACTTCTTTGGAGAACCAATAAAATTATGATAATCGTAAGGAATTGTGATAACCACAAAAACTTGTGCATCATGTGTTACTTCATATGATTTTTTTTTTCCATCTAAAACTAAGATTTAGAATATTGATCAATGTATATTTGTTTTATAATGTGTTTGTTTCACACGTACTCGGTTAATAATGTGGACATTTTTTACATGTTTGTGAAACAAAAATATACATGTAAAAATGTTCATATGTAAACCAAATACACATAAAACAAACACGTTACGAAACAAATATATGTTAACTAGTACATTATATTTAGACGGAAAAAAAATCATGTGAAACAAAATTATAAAGTAAAAGTTCTCACATATCTTTTTGAAGTTATCAAATGATTAAGCTGTTTTGCACATATAAATATTATATATAAAATAATATATTATCATATTATAAAGTTATAATACATATGTGTGTATATATAACAATATATTATAGTATAATTTAAATTTTATATAAATTTTTATGAATCACATTATAATTTATGTATATATATATATTGTTATTATTATTATTATATATAATAATAATAATAATAATAATAATAATAATAATAATAATAATAATATAGGAAAATTAATTAAAATAGCCATCTTCAGATGTTGGTTTCATCCCTTGGTCATTTTTCTCTTAAAATCATCAAAATATCACTAGGTCCGTAAATGACATGTTCACAATTTATGGAAGGGTTCAGGTGTAAAAAAAGAAGTTTCTAAATCAAATCCACAAGTATAGGGATTAAATTTGTAAATTCGTCCCAACACCTCACAAATTGGACATGGACTTGCGGACCTATATCAATTTTACAGATTTGGTCTCTGCATTTGATCATCTAGTTCAGAAACTTTTTTTTTGTACTTTTACTCTTTCGCAAATTACAGACTGCTACTTGCGGACCTAGTGACATTTTGGTTATTTTATGAGAGAAATGACCAATAGGTGAAACCACAAGCCGAAATTTACTATTTTAATTTTTTTTTATAATTTATAATCAAATATTATATATAATAATATATTGTTTTACAATAAAATACAATAAAAAATTATATTATAATGACATATATGTAGGTGAAGGATCGCGTGAGAAGAGAAGTTATGGTGAGAAACGTAAAAAGAGATTTGAACCTTTGATTACTTTTAATCTCATATCCACTCATGAATTGCGTTTTAGAATAAAATTTATTCGGTACATCTCATTAGTGTTGGCATTCAATTACAATTGATCCAAATGTGAAGATTTCTTTTTACTTTTATCACCATAACTTCTCTTCCCACCGGAACATATATATTATATATATATATATATATATATATATATATATATATATATATAGAGCCAAGATCAAATGCTAACCAACCCTT